ATGTACAAGGTGTTGACTTTTTGATTCAAGAGATTGGAAAGCTGATGAGCTTCTTGAATTGCCAAGGGGATATATCATCGTAAACGTGGTTATAGTGTTGGTTAAGGGATTATCTAGGAATAAGAAGTCTTCATAATAAGGAAATATTTCTTTTTAAGTTGGAAATATATTTAAGAAAGGTATATTTTCTTCCAAATACTTTTATTACAATTATTCATGGGTTTCCATTACTTTATTTACCCTTTACCTGATTGTTTTTCACCTGCCATTTAACAGCTTTCAATTAGAGATAGCCCACTTTGCTGTCCAATTTCCCTGCCTGGTTTCCCCCGGATTTTCCAAGCTCCCCATTTTCAGGGCTTCTTTGATCGGCCCACACACGAGCAAACAGACGTCCCTCGATAAGTGCACTCTGCCATGTCAATCATCTGCTGACCAAGTCACGCCTTCTTCCGCTGTCCACTGTCCACTGTCCATATCGTGTAAATATATTTATAGGGAAAATCGGCGGCAGCTGCCGATGTCTGCCGGTTGTCAGTTCGATGGACAACAAATTTCACACTCTTTCACGAACCGTAGGAGGGTTTTTCCTTTTGTCTTTGATTTGGCACCGCCTTCGACTCTTTTCTCTTTTACTTATGTTTTTTTTTCTGTTTTCGTTATGATTTCTAGAAATTCACATTAACTGCAATTCACTTTTTTTTTACATTTTTCTTCTACATGTTTTTCATTCGGTTACAAGGGTATTATTATATGCTCTATGACTTGTGAAATTGTCGGTGTCATTGCCGGCAAACAAGGCACGAGTCGAACTTTGGTGCAACAGAGGAAGAAGAAAAATGCTAACGAAAGTTTGTTGCTGCTTGTTTTTTTTTTTTATTTTTTTGAAAGTGATCGAATTGCGATGGTTGTTACACTTGGAGGGGAAAGGTCATACAGAAAACTCATGACTAACTAACCGACTAAACGCTTCTTGAACTGAGTGTCTTGGTAAAGTGATTTTAATGGGAGGTTTTGTGAACTAGTTTTCAATAATAACCTATCTCTAGCTCTAGATTGTTTCTCATTTTATTCAATTTATTTTAGGCTAATTTCATGCAAATTGAATATAATTTAATATATATTACATACACCTGCACTTTATATATTTATTCTAAGTACTTAAAGTCAAGCCAGAACGAGGTCTTTCTTTTTATGATTGATTGTAAACTATCTCTTTATCTTAAGGCTTTAAAACTATATTATTTAATAGGTTTATAGTTGCCAGTTTGCATATCTTTAGCCACTACTTTTACATATTCTTCTACTCAACAAAATTCACCTTAAGGCTCTTGCTTTATTGATCATGTAAAAGTCGGCATACCCTATAGACTGCAGTTAAATTTCTTGATTATGCTTCTTAGTGCGATGTGCATATGGCAAAGGCTATAATTAATTATTATGAGTGGTGGTCTTACCAAAGCTTTGGCTCATGCCAAGCCTCCGGGCCTCCTCTGTCTGCCCCACTAATTAGCCGAGTTGGAAGCGTGAAAAAGAGTCGTACTGTGTGCTCTTCTGTGGTTGCATCACCCAAAGTAAAAGGTGGGGAATTCGCAACTCATGCGAAGAAGATCGCAAAGCCGGAATCAGACATGACCTAGCCATTGTAGAACTGGCTAACTAACTAACTAACTAACGGTGCTTTGCCCTCTATAATTAAGCACAATCGGTGTGTCTATATACTATACACACAAATCAAACGAACGAACAAAATACAATTTGGTCTTTAGCCCCGTTTGCAGTTCTAAGTCGATTGTGTTTTCGAGAAGAAAGCGTGTAAATTCAAAACCTCACAGCAGCAGCGAAAGTTTTTTGTTACCTTCCCTTCGGGTGTATTATTATTTGTATGCAAATTAGCAAAGATGAAGAGCGAACCCAAATTCTTTTGTTGGCAATGTAACAATTATGCTTTCATCTTTCGATTGTTGCCAAAAAGCTGAAACAAATGCGGGCCACAAATCTATTTAACAATGTGTTAATTACACGCGGTGGTCACAGTTCTAAAACCCAAAAACCAAACCAAGGCGCATTCTCTTTGAGATCTTCTGCCGCATCTCCCTCTGCGGTAACCGTAAACAAATCTGCGCTTAATCGTTAATTTATGATATTCCTAGCGGTAACCGACAGCCGGCAATCAAGAGCCCAGCCCGAGCTTGACGCTCCGCTGATCAAGCGTCATCATCACCATCCTCGGGGTATTCTCTTCCAAGCTGACCATGGGTAGCTCATAAAGTTCTTCATTCTTATTCTCTCTTGTCTTGTCCAGCTTCGATTCGATTTTATGACCTTTCGATGCCCATTAACATGCTGGATGCTGGATGCTGGATGGCTGAGCATTCAATGGTAATTAATGATCACTTTTCACTCAGTGGATTTCAATACGTTTTGTTTACTGTCCGGAAGATTTCCACTGGGTTCGGCACACTACAGGTGCCCTGAGTGTGAGTGTGTGTGTTTGGGGAAATAATTATTAATTAACCAAGTCATCTCTGCGGAAGCCGATCGTAAAATCTTTTGTTTGAACAAGAAAATCCTGTGTGTATAGCACTTGGGATTAACAATCACCTGATTTCATGATACTCTCAGGTTTCACAGCACCTCTCTCTGTGCTTCTCACAGTTCTTAGCTGCAATCATTGAGAAGCGCGGAGAGAATCAGGCGGATTTGGGCTTAACCAAAATCAACATCCATGGGAAACATAGTCCGCAGCGCTCACCTCTGGGGATTGGCAAATAGAAGTTAGTCTACTCCTGTCTTAACTTTCTCCGGGATTAGCTTTCTGGGGAGACTGGGACCCAAGCCTAATCCAACTCATTCTTAAATTCCAGCAAAACATTCCCAGTGAGCCAAACCATAATCGTTGCCATTCACAGTCTTTACTTAAAACGGCATCAAACGATGTTAACCGCACAAAAGCAGTTCGATTAATCTGCCAATCGATTGAGCCAGCAAAGCAAACAATTAAAGTCTTCATTAGACTGGTCGGGGTCTCAGTCTCCCGGTCTCGGGCAACCCATTTAGGTGCGGATATGTGACTGCAATTTTAATTAGGCACACGACCGCCATTAGAACCAGTGACTCAACCACCCATGGCCAAGTGAAACATTTTCATTTAGTTTAATTCTTTTCTCTCTTCTCATTTCAGGTAAGTCGAGGCTACTTTAGAATCTAGCGAAGCGAACTCAACCTGTTTCTTTTGGGTAAGTGAGTTGCTCAACCTGTCGATGGGTTTGGGAGTTGAAAAGCTGAGAGCTTAGACACTGAGGAGCTGGGAGCTAGGAGCAAGGAAGCTGGGCTATGTATGTCGCCTTGCATCGATAGCTGCGATCGCAACTATGGCCATAAATTATGTCGTTGTTTGCGCAGAGACTCGCAAAAGCGACTCAAACGCGCAGTCATTCCGGCCTCCACTACCAATCATCATTGTTAGGTGCACATCAAAATTTATAGGTCAGTAGTGGCAACAAATTGCACTGGCATTCCGATGCCTGCCCAAATCATTGCCGATCCTCCTGGCCAGATGCCCTCCATCTTCATCGCTGTCTCTCCTCACTGGCTGCAGTTCTTCGTCCGTCTTGACTGTATCTAATAAGGCTTGACCAGTTCCCTTGTCCATGTCATCAAAAAAACAGCGGAAAGAAACAAAAACGGGCCCAAAACTGAAACTGACCCACTCAACAATTGTATTGAAAGTTTCGGTTCGGTTTTTCCTGCCCAAGCACTGCCTTCTTCATCCCCGTTTTCATCCTCCAGCTTATGACAATCGATTTGCAATGGAAAGCCCAATGCCTGGAGGCGCTCCATTTATAACAAGTGGCCAGCTTTGGCCAACTATCCAAGTAAGCAAGCCCAGCACAGTTACACTTTAGGCACTGGAAAAAACAGGGGATTACGAAATGGGGGAGGGTTTCCTTTGAAACTTCTTAATTTTAAAGGTTTATGATACTGATGATACATCTTTGCTTCAAGAATTTTATAAATTGAATTAAAGGTCTAAACCACTTCGTTAGGGTTTATGAAAGTACTTCTCTCTTAAGTTATGTAAAGGTAATAGGTTAATGTGTTATGGATTAATGTATAAAATGTCTTTTTGAGTGCCAAGAAGAGAGCTTCCGTTTCTTTAAAGTTTTGATTATTTATTCCTAAAGTTCGATATTTTTTTCTCCGTGTGGTTCTTAACTTTTTAGTGGCTCTTGCAATGCCTTCAATGCCCTGGTGTTGTTACGGTTGTTGTTGTTATTGTTGTTATTGTTGTTGTCGTTGTCGTTGTCATCGCTTGTTGCTTTGTTGTTATAGTTTGAGAGTCAAGTTGTTCCAATAATTCTGCATTTGACATTCAACGGGGTTTTACTTGGGTTCTTCTGGTTTTTTGTTAGCTTTGCCCGAAACGGTTTCCGTTTTTTTTTTTTGTTCAGAGATGTCTCTGTCCCGTGGTCTTGGCCCATTGTCTTGGGAAATATGTAACTAGCTTGACAGGCACTCTAGCGTATTCGCCTTTCCCCTTTCTAGAAATTCCCCTTTTCCCCTTTGAACTTCAATAGTTTTTGGTGGTCAGTCATTGCTAATTAAGTTTGAAAGAATGGACAATATTTTGACTGACTTCGAGAGGAAGTTCGAAGCGAGTTGGAGGCAGGGTTTAGAAGTATGTGGTTGAGATCCTTAAGATTTGTTTAAGCTGCTTTAATAGGGTAAGCTTGGGATATCCTGATTATGCCATGACAAGTACATCCTTTGATTTCTTGAAGGATCAATCTTTTAAGTTGATTTAAACCCATGTGCAAGGAAGGGTTATAGAGACTAAGATTAGGTTTACTTAAGAAGGACCCATATATTCCGTAGATGTTCAAGAAAATGTCTTCTTAGAAACTCATATCTAAGACATTATACTTTATATGTTATATAATTTCCCTTTAAATACTTAAATTTAATTGGTAAGTAGAACATATATTTTAGTGTCTTACCTTATTATCCTTGTTGCCCGCTCCCAATTTCTGCTGATAGTACTCCTCGCGAGCGTGTGTATTGAGGCTGTCGATCAGGGCTGAGGCATTCACATGACCATCGTAGACCATGCTATCCTGCTGGCTGCTATATGTGGCTGCAGTGCCTCCTGTTGATCCTGCGGCAGCTGCGGCGGCTGAAGAGGATGCTGCAGCGGCTGCAGCTAAAGGAATATTGGCCTGAGGTGTCCTAGTGTACAACTGTTCGATGGGCAAAGCAGGAGCTGCCGAATTGGTGGTAATCGAAGGCAGCGATGATGATGATGATGCAGAAGATGAGGCTGAAGATGGAGAGGATGCAGTGCCTCCACCAATTGAGGGGGTGACCTTTTGCAAGGGCTTCGCTTGTTGCTGCTTGAAACTGTTGGTGGTGGAGATCTTCTGCTTCAAGGCACCACCGGTGGATGAGGTGGTGCCACTGCTACTGGGTTTCGAGGCCGCCGCTGCATTGGCAGCTGCGGCACTGACACTGCTTGGACGCTGACCTCCTCGCTTGAGGGCAGCGGTGACCTTGTGGGCAAAGGGTCGCTTGGTGGCCCGATTTTTCAGTTTTCCCATGGTGGTTAGAGTCCTCTGTTGACTGCCCGAATTGGCAGTGGTTGTGGTGCTGCCATCAGCATCATCGGCTGCCGTTATGGCAGCAATATTGTTGTTCGATCTGGCGGCCACAAATTGATCATCAGGATCGGTGGATTCGGTGAGGGATTCATCACTGGTTGTGGAAGCCTGCGCCTGTTGCTCAGACAGTGTGGTGAGATTGGGAGATGTGGTTTCACCCTCCTCATCGGTGGCCTCTGAATCGGTTTCCGTTTCCTGCTGACTCACATCCGTGGTGGTGGGCAGCTCCTTCATAATGGTACTCATTGCCGCCTGTTCGTTCATTGTGTTTTGTAGTTCCAGGAGTGTGGTCTCATCCAGGACTAGAGTGGGATCTGTCTCGGCCTCAATGGTGGCTCCAGTCGGTGACACTGTGCTCTGTTCCCGATCCTGCTCTGTTTCCGCTTCCGTTTGCGCTTCTTGTTGCTGCTGTGTGGTGCTTGAAATACTGCTCCTGGAGGCAGTGGTAGCCTCCTGACGATTGAATTGCTGCTCCTCAATGTCCAGGGACTCCTTTAGCCTGGCCACTCGCTCCACTATCCTGGCCAGCATATCCTTTTGCTGCTCCGGCAGATTTTTTGTATCGAGTTCTAGCAAACGATCATATTTCCTTATATTCCTCTTCACGGTCTCAATGTCCGCTCGGGTCTTGGCCGAGGTCAAGCTGGGACTGGGATTTGGGTTGGAGGAGCGCGGGGTCTCCTGGAAATAGGTGCGTGCCCGGCGATTGCTATAGCCCACCAGTTCGATCACGCCTGGATAATCCGACGAGGAGGCGGAAACCGCCATAACCAATGCAATCAGGGCCAATTGGCAGCTCCAGGCTGCGCTAAACCGCACCATTGCAGTTTCAGTTTTCTTGGTTATTTCTTTTGAAATTGATTTTTCTTTTCTTTATTATATATTTCTTTTTTTTTGTATTCTTTTGCACTCGCGATTCACGTTCGGTTTTTCTTGTATTTCTCGTATTTCACCCGCTCGTATTAGTGTCAACTAACAGTAACTCCAGTAACAATCTTTCGGCACAGACACACACGCGAGAGGAGTCCCAGAGTCAGGAATCAGTATCAATATCAGTCTCGGTCTCGGTCTCGATCTCGGTTAGGTGTCTGGGATCCACAAATAGAGAGAGATATATATTATATATATAGCTACTACTGGTGGCCACGATCCGTTGACTTCTAACGTCGGATTACAAATGTTCCAGGCCGCTGACTGGCAGCGTCTTTTAAAAATTTCCAAGCGGAAAACGCAGCGCCGTCGCGGCACTTTTCTCCCAACTGGAGCTGAAGTTGGAGTCGAGGCTTTCAGCTTTTTTTTTTTGGTTTCTTTCACCGTCAAGTTCATGGCCGAGACCGGTTTGAAGCCAACATGTTGTTTGCAACCAAAGAGTGGTAAGCGGAGAATCCCAGAGAATCTCCAAAGACACACCAGAGAATCTTCGAAGAGAGCTTGTAGAGAGAGAGAGTAGAGCTGAGCGCTTTCTCTCGATGTTGCCAAGCTTTTGATAGCAAATGTTGCCAGGGCAACCGACAATTGACAAATGAAGAGTGCTAATTGCAACATGTTGCTGGGCGAAGCCATTAGGCCAGGCACACGCCTTCCTTTTGGCATTATCTGGCGGATACCCGTGCGGAATATCTGCGAGATATACGAGACCAGCTCCCCTCCCCTATTCAATTAGTCATTCCAGACACACGGCCAGAAGATACTACATACTACGGCCTGGTTCTAGCCGCTTTCGCTTCAATGTCAACTTGGCTCGTTTAGCCTGTCATCGATTTGGACTGGTACTCGTCGTCGTTGGAGCCGTTCTCTCTAGCACCTAACACCTCTTGGCCGAAACCAGCTGAAATATTCAACGTTTCTCTTCGGGCTCAATTTAGCTAAATGGCCTCGCATTAAACATAATTTGTCGCGGCCTTCTTAATTGCAGTTCGGGAAATACTCTACATCGAACACTCCACTCTCTCTCTATCTATATATCTGTGGGTTTCCATGATATCACTTCCCGAGACCTTTCTCCCTCTGGGTGATCTGTAGCCCCGTTCGTGCCCAGAACATCTAATGAACCCCAGGCGATGAGACTCATCCATTTCCATTTCAAAGTGTTCTCATATTTATACTCTAAAAAAGGGTATTTCAACTAGCAAAGGTTTTATATTTCGAGGGTAAATAGTATATATTGGGTAGGTTACATTTTTATATATTTTTAAAGATTCTTCTCTTTGTTAATTTGTTAATTTATTACACAACCTTTGTGTTTTGTGATTTTAGAAAGGGATATCTTTTTATTTAAAAATATTACGCATTTATTTCATGAATATATATACATTTTATTAGTGGAAATAATAGTTCAAATATTATTTGATCTTATTCTTTACAGATTAAAGACAACATTTTAATTCTTAAACTATTTCTAAGCTTTATAAAATCTCAATAACATTTCCCCTCTTCCCATAGAGTATTAACTATGTCATTAGACATTTTTCACCTGCTTCCTTTCATTTTTCTAGTCAACTATTTGGTTGGCAACAATTTCCCTACCGCATGGGAACTGCAATAAAACAATAAGAAATGAACTAATAAGAAATTGTTGCCAAGAAGAAAACCAAAGCTCAAGTTCAGCGAAGAGACTGCTGCTTCTGCTGTGGAGCTTCTCATTTTTCACGTAGCCGCGCAATAAAAGAAACCGAGCGTTAATTAAAAAAATAGCCATAGATCAATGCACCTGATAGATGCGGGAAATGTTTGTTCTACTGCTCGGTTGCAAGTCGCTTGTTGCAAGTTGCTAGTTTGCTGGCTTGCTGGCTTGCTGGTTGCCATCCGGCTGCTGTTGGCCTTACTGTGTGTTCGTTGCCAGGGGCAAATGTGTTGTAATTTGTGAGAAAGAGGCTGGTCTCCTTAGCCCTTTTTAGAGCCCCTAATGGAGAGAGAGCCCAGAGCCATCTTAGAACCCAAAAGTAACAAAAAAAAAGGAGAAAAAGGAAAAGGCAGAGGTAATGGGGTAATGGTAGTTGACAAGGCTGCAGGCGCTTCCTTCATTAGCATGGAATGGGTGGAAAACTGGACAATATGGCTCCAACTCTGACACACATAAGGCGTTTATAATCATTATGGGATAAACGCCAGAGTTGTTAACTCCTCCTAGAAGATGTTTGCTGCTCCAGTCGGGTGTGTGTGGGTGCTGCTGGTTGCGTGGTTGCAGCTCGCAACTTGCAACTTTCTTCGGCTCTTATCTTTTGTGCATATGCAGCGGACAACAGCAGCAGCAGCAGCAACAGCAGCAACAGCAGCAGCATCAACGCAATGGCGGCGTCTGCATTCTTTGTAGGCTATAAAATATGCGACCGACGATCATCTGAGTAACATACAACAGCAACAGCAGCAGCAACAGCAGCAGCAACAACATCAGCAGCAACAACAACAGCAGCAACATCAACTGCTGTAGCACCGCAGCAACTCTTGAACTTTACTGAGCTATGAAAATGCTTTTGCCCTTTTTCTATGCTGTCTTCCTCTTATTTTACTGCAGGCTGCAACTGTTTAGCATGAGCCGCACTGAAAGAAATTTGCCATTAACTTATTCTAAACTTATATATTTAGCTTTATTTCAAGTAAGGTCTAATGCCTCATCTATTTGTATTTGTCAGATGATGCAGATTCAATGCCTTCTTGATGTTCTTCAATCTGACTATCAGTGTGTCCGTCAGTTTGTCCGTCAGTCTGTCCGTCATATTAGGTTAAGCATTGCAAGATATTTTGTTTATATAATATTGCATTACACTTTTAAATAGTATTTAGTTACTTAATAAATATCAAAGTCATTTAAATTATTAAACATATAAATACAAGTCAAATTTTAAAAAGTGCCACAAATTTCCTTCAGTGTAGCTTAAATGAGTGAAAGAGAGAGGAAGACGCAGCACGATGTGGCTGCTTCTGCTGCTGCTGCTGCTCAAGTGCCAATAGCAATCTTCTTTTTCTTTCTTAGCCGCTTTTCCTCCTTGCCGTTGTTTTTGTTGTTGTTGTTGTTGTTGTTTATTTCCCCCTGGCTTGATCTTTTGGTCTTTGGCGGTAATTTTTCTGTGCAACTTTTTCCTTTTGGCCAAGACTTTATTGGCTTTCGGTTGCCTTCGCTTCGGTTTTTCCTTCTCCTCTCTATTTTCGGTGCCATTTTAGCGCTGCTCCTTTTTTATCTGCCAAAGTTTTGTCTTCATTTTTATTTTAATAGCGATCTTGATACTGCTTTTTTTCGTACAATACTCCTCCACCTCGGTACGCGTCGTCCGTTCCTGGGTACTTTTGAGCTCTGTGGTTTGGGTTCGTCGCCGGTATCTTCTCTTTATCACATAATGATTTCAAATGGTGCGAAATTAATTTGAATTATTACTGTTATTAGCTGTTATTTGTGTAATGGCCAGTGCCTGATCGTCGACGAGTCCAAAAGTCACCGTGTTGCACAGATGGTACAGTTTGTTGCAGTTGCAGTTGCAGATACAGATGCTGCAAGTGGCTGCTGTGTATTATGCAAGACGTGGGTAACGAATGCGAGGAGAAATGCTCGCAAATTCAGTGATAAGCCATGAGAGTGAACAATTTGAGGACTAGGAGCAGTAGGAGCATCTGTAGGGATGCAGCAGCAACAGCAGCAGCAGCAACAGGAGCAGCAGCAGCAACAGCAGCAGCAGCAACAGGAGCAACAGCAGCAGAAAAGAGCACCAGTAATACTCGTATTAGCAGCAAAATACTTAACATTATCTATTGAAAAACCTCTTTCTAGAAGATATAGTTAGTATTTTTCAATAAGAAAATACTTGCTTTATTTATAGTACACTAAACAGACCACAGTTATTTTGTTGTAATAAAAATCTAATCTTTATTTTATTTCCTCTAAGTTACCATTAATCCCCCAACAAGTAGTTAATGTAGACATTATAAATTAACCATTTAATGAACGATTTCATTGACATTTCTCCCTGTGGAGATGCTGTGGCAGCATCAATTACCAATTCTCGTTGGCCGCTTAAATGACAGCATCTTTGTTGTTCAGCTGGCTAGCTGGCTCTAGCCACATTTAAATTTATTAAAACTGCACTGGACTAACTACTAACGGGTGATGCTCTTGGAATGTGCAACATGTTGCTGGCTGAAGTTGCTGTTTAGTTTGTTGCAAGTTAGAGCTGCTTCGCTCGCCCGGTCGGTCACTGACCAAGGTGATCTCTGGCATACCAACTGATGGCGCCTCTATGTACCATTTTTGCAATTTGCCATTTTAGCATTTTGCATGCAATTTGATGCCATTTGTCATTTGCTTAATTGTGCCCAACAGTTGCGAGTCCGCACTTCCTGCCAGATCAAGTCAGTTCCCTCGCTCTCTCTGTGTTCAGGTGAGTTCTGTTCGGTTCTTTTCTGTTCAGGTGAGCTGAGTTCTTACTGTTTCTAATTGCAGTCCGGCACGCAGCGTTGCCTGCAATCTACCGACTCGAACCCATTTAGTTTCAATTAATCAAGTTGTCGCTGCACGCGTCTATTAGCTGTTTATGACAACTGTGCAACAGGGAATCTGTCTATAGGAGAGGTTCTCGGGTTCCCCATGCAACCTCGGGGTGCTCATTAGTGGCGCCCCCGAAGTAGCCACATGTTGTTGTTGCTGCTCCTGATTCCTCTCAAAGCAAGGCTATATATTATTAAATATACTTGTGGCAAGTTGCCGCTATTGCCTCACGGCTTATTTTAGTCAGTCACTCAGTGAGTTCTTGAATGCCCTCCTTATACCTCAATATTCATACAAGAATCGGGTGTATTCCGTTTGTTAAGAACAAAATATATAAATATTAAAT